AGGGGCACACACCTGTAATCCCAGCAACTTGGGAGCCTGAGAAAGAATTGTAAGTTCAAGGCCAGCCTGAGCAACTTAGCAAGACCCATCTCAAAATAAAAAGGGCTGGATATGTGCCTCAGTGGTAGAGTTCCCCTGGGTTCAATCCCCAGTACCAAAAACAAGAACAAAAACCAAGAAAGAAAAATCATATATATATTTTGATAAATCATAAAACAAACACCAATATAAATAGAGACATGATTTTTTAAAGTAGCATGTTGAACCTAGCAAAATGAAAAGGCTAATAGACCAATATGTACAAGTTTAATTTATTCCAGTAATACATGTTGTTTTACCAACTGAAAATCAAAGAATGTATAGTTCACTTTGTTAGAATTAAGGATTTTTTAAAGGCCCTGATACATGCAGAAAAGGCACTGGATAAAATCCAATATCAATTTGTGATTTTTAAAAACATTTGACAATCCAGGAACAAAACAGAATTCCCTTAATTTGATAAAAGTTATCTATGAAAATTTATAAGTAGCATTATATTTAATGGTGAGATGTTGAATACTCTTTCATACAGGAACAAGGAAAAGATATTCAATTTCATGACTTCTATTCATTAAATAAGACAAGAAAAATAAATAAAAGGTTTAGAAACCTGGTGAGAATTACTTCAGTTAAATTTATGTCACTAGCTTTAAAGCTGATGTAAGGAAAAGATATTGCAAAGGTATGTACTAATCCAAAAATTAAAAATAAAAAAACATTTACAAAGCAAAACACACCACGTACCTAGAAATAAATTAAACAAAGGCATTCAAGACCTCTACAATTAAACTACAAAATGCCTTCAGAAAAGTTAAAGACAACCAAGGTAAATGGATTGTTGCATCATGTTCATCAATTGAAAGATGCAATTCTGTAAAGATGTCAATTTTCCTTAGGTTATTCTATAAAATGGACCCTGAATATTTTTATAAAAATTAATAAATTCTAAAATGAGAATTTACTATTAGATTTCCAAAAATACTACAAAGCAATACAAATTAAGATAGTATGGTGATGCTGCAAGGAAAGACAAACAAACCAAAAGACAGATTGCCTACCTAAGCAGAGGGAAAACATGATCCAGTGGATAAATCTGTACACATACACCTGCATCCTACCTCACACCCTATCAAACAAACAAAAAAATACTCAAAATGGACACCAACCTGAATACAAGAAGTTAAACAATGAAGGGTCTAGAAGAAAACATAAAATATATTCATTATCTTGGTCTAGGCAAATACTTCATAAAGAACACTTAGATCTCTACTTATTTTTATGTTCTGTAAAGACTGAGAGCAATTTTTAGCAATCTAAAAGACATATGGCATCTGACATTCTAAAAGGATTTCTAGGAACAAACACTGGGTAAGTTCCCAGACTTTGTATTTCCCGAAGTCAGCATAAGGTGCAATATTGCCCCTATTTTGAGCCCCCACCTGCTCACAGCTGCCTCTCTCTCCTCTCCATGTGCATCATAACTGCCAGGGCTCTATGATTTAGGGGTACAAATTCTAACCTCAGTTTCTCAATGAGAAAATGGGAGCTGGTCCTAAACAAATCAGATTATTAACATTCCCCTGACCATGGTGGACAAAATAATCAGATTCCATTTTTTTTATTATTAGTTGGTGAAAACATTACATAGCTCTTGACATATCATATTCCATACATTTGATTCAAGTGGGTTATGAACTCCCATTTTTACCCCACATACAGATTGCAGAATCACATCGGTTACACATCCACGTATTTACATACTGCCATACTAGTGTCTGTTGTATTCTGATGCCTTTCCTATCCTCTACTATCCCCCCTCCCCTACTCAGATTCCATTTTGATAATTATATTGGAACTGTTCAAAAAAAGATGTCACTCTTCTCCCTGAAGCATTATCTTGGGAAGAAAGCAGCACAGAACTTCTGAAGCCTACTGTGAAGAAAACATCCCAGCTGTAAGAAAAGACAATGCAAAAGGATGCACAGCCAAGACAAGGAGACAGAAAAATTCACATCTTTTAGCCTCAGGATCCAGATTGAAGCTTAGTTATAGCCAAGGACTTTTTAGCAGCAAGGAAACACTTCAAAAGAAAAAAGGAAATAAAAATGGGTGAAATGCTTCAAAAGGTAGCCTAATAAAGATATCCAAATAACCAATAAGCACACCAAAAAGTATTCAAAATCATGACATATCAGGAAAATGCATATTTCAACAACAACAACACACACACTCTGCTGAAGAGCTAAAGTTAGAAAGTGTGGGCCCAGTATGCGGAATAGCCAACACTCACATGCACTGTTGGGGACTTACTGGTAGAACCAACATTTTTGAAAATCTAAAGTATCTACCAAAACTACACTTGAAGTCTATCCTATCATTCAGTAATTGCATTCCCCACATATAGCACATACCAAGAGAAATAAGAGCAACCAAGTGACAAACCAGACATTATGTTGAGTAAAAGAAGCCAAACATGTAACAGTACATGTTGTAGTTTTCACATTTATTTGAAAAGTGAGAAAAAGCACACCAAATCAAGCATAATAAGAGTCAAAATCCTATTTCCTCTGTGGAGTGATTATTGAGAAAGGAGATGAATGAACTTCCTTGAATCCTGGAAATGTGTCCACCAGGATGTATACATCTATGTGAAATTACATCAAGCTGTACACAACTTGCACATTAGTGTATGTATACCTTGATAAACAGTAAAAAGTGATTAAGGGAAGTGGTATACTTATGCTTTTAAGAGATAAAATATAATTTTATAAAATATTTTTAGTTGTTAACAGACCTTTATTTTATTCATTTATTTATATGCCATGCTGAGAATTGAACACAGTGCCTCATACATGCTAGGCAAATGCTCTACCACTGAGCCACAACACCACCCCTTAAAATACAATGTTTTAAAAAAGGGGAGGAGGAAGCAAAATGTACCTGAAACAGCTCATAGCAGTTCCTCTTCTCGCATAAAGGCAGTAAAATCTTCCCTGTCTGAAGGTATCAAATATAAATCCTCCTCTACCAAAATAGGATGACACCTATCTGAGGCTTGCCTCAATTACAGTCGGATAACTTCATTAACCACAGCTCTACTCACTTTTGGTACCATGGTAGGCTTGTATAGACATCAATCCCATAAGTAGAGTGAAGGATGGGAATGGAATGTGAGCATGATGACAATCCTCCTGCAAACTGGTCAACTCTAACAGGGCAGTGAAAGTGCCAGAGGAACTGCAATGAGAAGCAAAAATGCCAAAATGGCAATAACAGAGCTTGCCAGAGAAATCTAAATTGTGATTGGCCAGGATACAGGAGTTAATGGAGACCTTTGTGGAGGTGCAGCCCCTGAGGAGATTGAGGTCAAGTACTTAACATTCAGTTTTGAGCAAGTATGGATCAGTGTGTTCAATACTCAGAAAAATGAGCTGAAAACTGGGGCCCGCAAGGTCCCTACTCATCTGTCTACCTATATTGTGGTCCTAATAAGCAGGCAATTCTAGCTCCTTCCCTAAAGCCTTTCAAACTTCTTGCAAAGTTATTTTAGAAAACTTATTACCTAGGATTAGAAGTGATTAAGGGAAATGTAGTCCACAGCCATATCCAAATTAATATAACACTTTATTAACTTAAAACATTAGATCAAAATTCCAGCCATGAGGGCTGGGGTTGTGGCTCAGTAGTCAAGTGCTTACCTAGCATGTATGAGACACTGGGTTCGATTCTCAGTACCACATATAAATAAATAAAGATCCATCTACAACTTGAAAAAATTAAATTAACAGATTCCAGTCATGAACAAACATAAAGAATAAAACACAAAACAGCAATCAGAAGAGACTATACTCTTTCAAGGCCTTTGTACTAATTAATTTCTACTAAAACTTTTTATTACACATGAAAAGCTTTGATACTAAACACTGATATTCTCAAAAACAGTCGGTACTCTTAGTTTAAAGGGAAGGGGGGAATTATTGGGTAGGCAGCTTGCAGTATCCAGATGAAGAAGATGATGAAGGCGAAGATGAAGACTACAAAGAAGAAGAAGAAGGCGAAGGCAAAGACGAAGACAAAGAAGAAGAAGGGGCCCATTCTGTGAGTTCAAACTTAAACAACAATTAAAAAAAAAAATCATTTTCCTGCCTGCAAAAAAAAAAAAAAAATGCACTTGAGCCAGACTCAATGATATATGCCTGCACTCCCAAACTTAGGAGGCTAAGGCAGAAGTCTAGGATTTACAGGCCTGGACAACATAGCCAGACCCTGTCTCAGAGGAGAAGCATACACACACGTACACACACAATCTCCCAAGAGTCCAAAAGACTTTGTAATGGAAATAACATTTACATCTCAGCTAAAGAAACTCACCTCACACTCAAAAGTATGTCATAAAAGCTGACAAGGGAAACATATAACCTTAAATCTTCCTATTAGAAAACATTGAAAATCTAGAAGTCCACTTTAATGAGGCACTGATCTTCTCTTCTAGCTCAAATTTTGAATTTTCTTCTACAAGTGTTGAGAGCCACAGCCAAGTCAAGATGGCGCCTGGCACTTTGCCAGGAGGAGTGGTTTGAGAAGTAATGCCAGCAAGCTATTAAGATGAGGAGGATTCCTTAATGACTGACTGCTGTATCTAGATGATGTTAATTGAGTTAAGCTGTGTCTAATTATTAAGATGATGAGGATTCCTTAATGACTGATTGCCGTAACTGGATGATGTTAATTGAGATAAGCTGTGTGTATTTAGTTGGGTATATATACCTCTGCTGTTCTGAATAAAGTGGCTCCCACTGTTTCAACCTTCACAAGTTGCTTGTCACCCCCCAGCTACTTTGCACAGTCCAGCCGGACTGCAACACAAGTTATGTTCAAAATCAAAAGGCTTTACCATATAGCTTACAAACACAGGGTTTCGCTCAGTTGTCCTCAACTCTTCAAAAGAATGAGTGATAATCTCCTATTTTCTCACATTTATAGTGTCTCTACAGTATGAGACTTCACAAAATGAGACTTCACAAATTGCATTAGTTCAGAAAAAGTCTTGCAGAGATTCCCTTACTCCTTACATTTATATGTTGTCCCTTGTGTGAATTTTCACATGTCTTCGAAAGTAGGCTGGACCAATAAAGGCTTTCCCACATTTTTTACATTTATAAGGTTTCTCTCCAGTGTGAATTCTTGTATGTACTGTAAGATAGGAAGAACTAAAGAAGGCTTTCCCACATTCCTCACATTTATATGGTTTCTCTCCAGTATGGCTTCTCACATGTCTCCCAAAGGATGAGGGAGAACTGAAAGCTCTTCCACACTCCAGACATAAAAAGGGTTTTTCTCCAGTGTGCATTCTTGCATGTATAGTAAGGTATGAAGAATGTCGAAATGCCTTCCCACATTCCTTACATTCATAGGGTTTTTCCTCAGAGTGGGTTCTCATGTGGATACTAAAAGGTGAGAAACGAATAAAGGCTTTCCCACATATTTTACACTCATAAGGTTTCTCTCCAGTGTGAGTTCTTCTATGTACTGTAAGATGGGAAGAACTAATGAAGGCTTTCCCACATTCTTCACACTCATAAGGCTTTTCTCCACTGTGAGTTCTTAGGTGTTCAGTGAGGGATGAGGAACGACTAAAGGCCTTCCCACACTCCTTACATTCATGTTGCACCTTACCACTGTGATCTCTCACGTGTGTTTTAAAGGATGAGGGACAACTGAAGGCCTTCCCACATTCCTTACATTCATAGGGTTTCTCTCTACTTTGATTGTTCACATGTGTGATCAGGGAAGTGGAAAGATAAAAGGCTTTTCCACATTCCAGACATTCAAAAGGTTTCTCTCCAGTGTGTTTTCTCATGTGGATACTTAAGGAGGATGGGCAATTGTAGGCTTTCCCACATTCCTTACATTTATAGGGCTCCTCTCCAGTGTGTGTCCTCACATGTATAGTGAGTTTTGAGGATTCACTGAAGGCCTTCCCACACTCTTTACATTCATAAGGCTTCTCTCCTGTGTGAATTCTTATATGTCTTATAAGATGAGAGGAATAGCTAAAGGCCTTCCCACATTCCTTACATTCATATGGCTTATCTCCACTATGAATTCTTTTGTGTTTGGAGAGTGATGAGGAACAACTAAAGGACTTCCCACATTCCTTACATTCATAGGGCTTATCTCCACTGTGAATTCTTTTGTGTTCTGTGAGGTGGAAAGAACTACTGAATGTTTTCCCACATTCCTTACATTCATACTTTGCCTTTTTACTATGAATTTTCATATGTGCTCTGAACATGGAGAAACAACTGAAGGCCTTTATACATTCCTTACATTCATATGGTTTTTCTTCTGTAGGAGTTTTCATATGCTTTTTAAAACAAGAAAGAAAATGGAAGGCTTTCCCACATTCCTTACACTGATAGGGTTTGTTTCCAGCATGAGATCTGGTGTGATTCTTAAGTGATGAATGCAACAGGAAGGACTTTCCACACTCATAGCATTCAAAGGATTTGACTTCAGTAGTTCTCTGGAGCATAAGATTTGAAATTTGTCCACATTGATTTTCTTCATTGTATTCACAGATGTTCTCTACCACATGACTTTTAAAAATAAAAGACAGATTATTAGTAATAAAATTTACCATTTTCAGTAAATATGTATGCTTTCTGCCCCATCAACTTATAAGCTAAAAGTTCTCAAGAAGGCTCTTCCACAGCCAACATTGTCACTGAGCTTTTGACTTATATGATTTTTCTGATAATTCTGTCAATCCAATCTATGTGTCAAACCTTCAATATCTCAGTATCATTTGTAGGAAAAACTCTCTAGACAAAATTCTTTGTGAAAGTACATTTTCTTTTAAATTTTGAATTTGAATCCTTTTATTTCTTTTTTTTAAATTTATTTTTATTTGCATGTATTCCATTAGTTATACATGATAGCAGAATGCATTTTGACACATCATACATAAATGGAGTATAATTTCTCATTCTTCTGGTTATACAGGATGTAGAGTTACACTGGTCATGTAATCATATATGCACATGGGATAATAATGTCCAATTAATTCTACTATTATTCCCACACCCCCTCCTTTCACCTCATTCCCCTCTAATTCAAAGTACCTCTATTCTCCCCAATACCCCCCTCCCTCCATTGTGAATTAGCATCCACCTATCAGAGAAAACACTTGGCCTTTGGTTCTTTGCACCAGCTTCATCCATTTACTGGCAAATACCATGATTTCATTCTTATGAAAGCATAATTCTTGACCTAGGTTTATGTTGAAAATATGTTTCTTTTTAAAAAAAATATTTTTTAGTTATAGATGGATGCAATATCTTTATTTCGTTTATTCATTTTTATGTGATGCTGAGGATTGAACCCAGTCCTCACATGTGGGAGGCAAGCACTCTGCCCGCCACTGAGCCACAACCCCAGCCCCAAAATATGTTTCTTAAATCTCAAAATTGTTTCCTGATGCACTACCTTCTCTTATATGAAGGGCACTCACCTTAAACCTTTCTCATGGCTTTTGTTCCAATCATCCACACCATGGGAGTCCTGGTTTTCATGTAAAATAGAGGAGCAGGAACCATTTCTTTTGAATCTCACTATTTTCTGTTTATTGGATATTTTTTCTCCATTGTTATCTTGAAGAGCAACTAATTCCTTAGTATTATGTAGAGACTCAAAACCTGAAACAAAAAAATAAAACAAAATAAAGTTACCTATGAGCAAAGGAGTTTGAGCAGTGCAGCTGTTTCAGGACTTCATTATTAATAGGCACAAGGATCAAAACTAAAACAGTTCACTAAAAAATATTTCCATGAAACCATAGTATGGTAACATTACCATAGTATGGTAACACATGCTTGTAATCCCAGCTACTTGGGAGGCTGAGGTAGGAGGTTCACAAGTTCAAGGACAGCCTCAACAACTTAGACTCAAAATTAAAAAGGGTATGGGATATAGCTCAGTAGTCCCCCAGTGCTGAAAAATAAAAAATAGTTCTATGAAGATGACAGTGATAGTAACATGACCAGTAGAAATTATTGGGACCAGAGACATGAAAAATTGTGCTCCATATGAATCAAAATGCATTCTGCTATCATGTATAACAAATTAGAACAAATAAATATATATATTTTTTTTTAAAAAGAAAGGTTATGTTAAAATTTTTCTGTTAACTTGATATTTCATATTAGTATTTCATATTAGTGTAGAAAATATATTAAAAATTTTCATTAATAATTTTTAAAAAAATTATCAGGAGAGGAAAACAGAAAGGATAAAATACACATACCAAAAGCAAACAAAAAAAAGCAAATATGGAGATCTTTGCCAAGAACAAGGAAAGTATGAGAGGACAGATAAACAGTCAAAATAGTCCTCTGAGGCATCTGTGGATAATGAGCCTCCTCAGACAAAACAAACTTTTGCTTTATTTCTATTTTATTTTTTTCTCCTCCCAGGCCAGTTTCTCCAAGGGATTCTTGCCTTCCTGGTCCTGCTCGGTACAGATGCCCTGGATAAGTTCTGTCTTCACTGTCTGTAGTTCCTCCTCTTGTTCCCACTGGGAGATCAGATTGGGTGTGAGTAGTGGGTACCCTGCACATGAGGAAAGGAATATCATGAGGGAAAGCAATGAAGAATCACAAACATCTTTCCATAAGATTGGGTCAAACTTTGGTCTTCTGATACTCTAAAGACAGAGAAGGATGAGTTTAACTGAAACAAAATGTCAAATCCATTGAAGAAAAAAAAAGGCAAAGGAGGGAGGGAGAGGAAGGAAGAAAGAAAATAAAAATAGAGAAGGTTAAAGAAAAAGCTGAGATGTGGGAAGAAAGGCAGCCTCTAATGTGAAGAACTGATCTGAATCAGACATGGTGACACAAGCCTATAATCCCAGGGTGGGATTGGGAGGCTGGAGGATCATGAAGTCAAGGCCAACCTCAGCAACTTAACAAGATCCTGTTTCAAAGCAAAGAAAAACAAAATTTTAAAGGATTGGGGACATAGCTCGGGGTAAAGTGCCCCTAGGTGTTCAATTCCCAGCCCAAAAAAGACAAAGAAAGAAAGATTGATCGGGCTGGGATTATAGTTCAGTGGTAGAGTACTTGCCTAGCATGTGCAAGGTGCTGAGATTGATCCTCAGCACTACATAAAAATAAATAAATAAAATAAAGGAGTAAAAAATTATTAAAATAAAAAAGATTGACTTACATTCATAGTGGAACCTCAATATAATTATAAGCTGATCTGACACAGCCAGAATATTTTTTATATTTTTAATATTTTTTTAGTTGTAGTTGGACACAATGCCTTTATTTTATCAGGTTTAACAGGGTTTCACCAAAAGTCATATCCAAATATATCAATGAAACAGAGTAGAGAGCACAGACACAGATCTACATAAGTAAAGTTTGCCCTCTATATTCGTGAATTCAAGCAACCATGGATAGAAAATACAATAGAAAAAAATTACATCTGTATTAAACATGTATTTTTTTGTGCTTATGTCCAAATCAATACAGTACAAAAGTAATTATGAATAAGATAGGATAGATAGTAAAACAGGCAGACCGTTAAGAAAATGCACTCCCACACACCAAAAAAAAAAAAAGAGAGAGAGAGAGAGAGAGAGAGAGAGAGAGAAAGACTTTAAATGAAGAGGCTATTTCACAAAACTAACCTATAGAAAAC